AAGATCGACACTGCATGTTGTTTATTAATTATGGCATTTTTTACAAAAGACTCTAAACGTACTAAATGATCGATGGTACTACGGTTTTTACGGAAACCACATTGTATATTAGTTATAAGGTTATTGGTTTCCAAGTACCAAACAAGTCTATTGTTGATCATACGTTCCATGGTTTTGCAAACGCAGCTTGTCATTGAAATTGGTCTATAATTAGAGGGATCTGTATGATCACGTCCAGGTTTAGGGATGGGCACAATTATAGCATCACGCCACGACGAAGGGAAATTTCCAGTTGTCCAAATGTCATCAAAATATGTAACAGTGTCTCCAAACATGACTCTGGCAAGTGCTTCAGGAGTTGATAATGTATGTTATCAGCTCCAGAAGCAGTATCGTGAGCCTGATCAAGAGCAGTATGAAGCTCATGTATCGAAAAGGTTTCATTGTAGTCTTCCCCGTTATCTGAATTGAAATTAATAGCTTTTTTTTCTTGCTGTTTTTGATATTTTTGGAATTCAGGTACATAATTTGCTGAGGAGGAATGTTTGGCCAACGTCTCACCAAGTTTATTTGCAATATCTGATTTACTAGTCAATAATGTGTTCCCATCTTTTAGATGGTGGACGCTAGATTTAGAGCCTTTACCCTTGATTTTCTGGATCATATTCCACACCTTTGATATAGGTGTGCGCGAATTAATTTTTGATATATAGTTTCGCCAAGATTGACGTTTACTTTGCTTGAAAGTACGTCGTGCTTTGGCGTTTAAAATTTTAAATTTGTCCAAATTGTGGACCATAGGATGGCGACGGAAATAGTGCTCGGCTTTCTTCCGTGCCTTCCTAGCCTGTTTGCAGTCATTGGTAAACCATGGTTTTCGTACGTGAGGAATTGCAGAGGACTTTGGGATACACACGTCAGCTATGTTATTTATTTCATCTGAAAAACATTTTATGGCATCAGGAATGTCATTAAAAAGTTCAGGTTTCAGATTGTCAGCACAGAGAGCTTCATATAAAGGCCAGTTAGCCTTTTTAAAATTCCATCTTGACGATGGAGGAACATCAGATGGATTCACAGGTGTCAGTATTGTTGGGAAATGGTCACTTCCACAGAGGTCGTCATGGACCGACCATTCGAATTCACTCAGTAGGTTAGAGTCAGTAATAGACAAGTCAAGAGCTGAATATGTTCCTGTGCCAGGATGTAAATATGTCTGTGAACCGTCATTATAAATGCATAAATCATTATTTGAAATAAAATCCTCCAGTAATTTACCTTTGGTGTTTGTATTAATACCACCCCAGAGTGGGTTGTGGCCATTTAAATCCCCCATGATTAAACAGGGTTTAGGTAGTTGATCATAAATAGCTTGCAGATCGGTTTGTTGAACAGTTGATGAAGGCGGAATGTACAAAGAGCATAAAGTAAAAGCAACCTGTAATGTGAGTCGGACTGCAACGACTTGAAGATTTGTTTTAAGTGGAACTGAGCTATGGATAATATTGTTCCTCACCAGGATGGATGATCCACCAGAAGCTCTATCACCGGGAGGAGAAAAACAGTGATATGCATTGAATTGACGGAGGTCAAAAGTATCTGTCTGTTTCAGATGGGTTTCTTGTATACAGAACGCTGACGGCTTAAAATCTTGGACAAGTAACTGTAAATCGGCTAAATTATTCCTCAGTCCTCTACAATTCCATTGTATTATGTGTGAGGACATTATGTGTTCGGAGGATGGACTGGGGATCTACCCCTCACCTTCCTTGAAGGCGACAAGCTATGTGTCCTACCATGGTCTTGTTCGGACACATCCATGTTGTCAAGGGATCCAAACTTATTAAAGATTTGGATCGGGTTTTTGGCCCCTTTTGGGGCTCTGCCACTTTGATTCCTTCTGGACTGTTCAGTGTTTGGTTTGGACTTGTTTTTCACGGTTGTCTCTGGTTTAGATGATTGTTTCTGAGATGCTGATGTATCCATCTCAGAAGATGCTTTGGACTGAATGATACTTTTGGAGGAAGACATGGTTTGGGAACAGGACGTCACTTGAGAAGGTTTCACCTGGATTTTAGTAGACAGCAACGTGGGAGCAGAAGTCGAAGTCCAGGTATAATCTGTCTGGCATCCGACTGAAGTACATTCAACTTGTTTCGGTTTCGAGGCTTTAGTAGAAGCAGAGACGGTGGTAGCATAAGTCGGACCAGACTGTTCTTGTGCAAGAACAGTCTTTTTCGCTTCTAAGAATGAAATATTGCGCTCGTGTTTCACCCGCGAAATTTTAGATTGCAATTTCCATGTAGGGCACTCTTTGGATGAAGACGGGTGGCAACCAGAACAGTTGACACAAACAGGAGGTTTGTCACACAGACTGCTGTCCTGGCATGTTCCAGCGCATCGTTGGCAAGCAGCTGGACTGTGGCAGGATTTGGACCCATGACCGTACTTTTGACAGTTAAAGCATCTCAAGGGGTTAGGAATAAATGTGTCCACCCTCAAATTGCAATAACCTGCTTTCAGAGATGTGGGATGAACTGGAAGACAAAAAGTGAATAAATAGGTGTTTGTTTTGATAATCTCGTTATTCTTTTTTGACCGTGAACCGTTTAACATCAGTAACTCCTTGTGACTGCAATTCTACGACGATGTCAACTTCATTCATATCAGCAAGACAACGCCCAATATCACGGACGAAGCCTTTGCTTGTATTCAATGTCCTGTGAGGGGACACCTCAACAGGAACATTTGCCAACGATTTTGTGTTGAGCAGAAGTTTAGATTGTATCTGTTTCTTACACTCAATGAGTAAAGAACCAGATCGTAGCTTTTTAATCTCCTTAACAGTACCGGCTAAACCTTCAATGCCCTTTGCCACAGCAAAAGGGTTCAACTTGAGAGGGCCACCATCAGGAGCACACATGACGAGGAAATGAGGCCAATTGTCAGGGCTGGTGAGAGATGTAGGAAGCTCATCCTCTGAGGAAATCGAATCATCGGATTCGTAGGAACGTTTTTTGTGTGGGGTAGCCATGATTGAAATATATATGTTTCACCCTCCTAGATCCTCACCCACCACGGAGTGTCAACAAGGACGATGTCACATGTCTATGGATCTCCAACAGACGACACCAAGGATACTAGGAGGGTATACTCAAGCAGGATAACATCTCGAAAGATATGACATACCAGATTGGCCCATGAGCCATCGCCTTCTGGCACCAGCATCTAGGCAAATTTTTCATGTTTGAAAATTCATTTATCATATTATATACAACAAATAACAAGTCAATAATGTTTCTAAAATCCAAGCCAAATAATGATAGAGCAATGAAAGTTTTAGTGCTCAGGGCTCTGCATGACCAGCCGATTGGTTGAACCGGGCCCATTCAACCACCCGTCTAGGTGAAGTCAGGGCCGAAGTGGTGTGTTGGGCAAAGGAACACTGTTCCTGGAACCAGTGCCCTCAACCACCAGGCCACCGTCCTCCACCGACACAGGGGCGCAACCCACGGCCAACAGGTTGGTGGACCAAATATTCCCCCGGGTCCACAACGGGGGGTTGAAGGGCGCTTTGCGTGACCCAGCACCCACCACGAGGAGGTGGCCCTTCATGGGTGCCTTGGCAATTAGTAAGGCCAGAAGTTGACCTAACACTGACAAAGTATAAGAAATCGGAAACTAATGAATTACAATATAAACAAGAATATAATCAATTAAAAAAAATATAATACATACAAGCCCTTATTTACAGATGGGTCTAAGGATGGTGGCGCAGTTGCTTGTGCCACTGTCATTTGGATCAAGAACAATATCCTCCAGATTACCTGATGACAGCTCAACATTCACAGCTGAAGCTAATGCAGTACTAACAGCTCTTTAATATATTAATAGACATCCTAAATATAAACAATATATAATCTTGTCCGACTCTCTTTCTTGCCTTCAGGCTATTTAAAAATCTTTCTTGTAAACATCCACTTTTACTTGAGATTATTGAACTTTATAATGATCTTGCTACTGGCCCATACGACATTGTCCTTTGTTGGTTACCCTGTCATGTTGGGATTTCTGGGAATACAATGGCTGATCTTGCTGCCAAGGCAGCACTCAATAAATCTGTGACACCACTTCTTATCCCATTGTCTGATTACAAAGCTAGCATTAGAACCTACATCCGTGATTTGATGCAGAAGAAGTGGGACACCCAGGTAGGTATCAATAAGTTACATGAAATTAAACCTTATATTGGTTACACCTACTTGGGTTATCAGTCCAGATTTGAGGAGGTCATTATGCGACGATGTCGCATTGGCCATACGCGTTACACTCACAAATATCTGTTAAAAGGTGAAGATCCTCCGTTTTGTATCCCTTGTGATGAGAGAACCACGATCAAGCATGTCCTGCTTGACTGTGTTGATTTTTTATCATAAGGGAAAAATATTTCACTGTTAAAACTGTTAAGGATCTTTTTAATACTGTTCATTTTCATTTAATTCTTGGTTTTCTAAAAGAAATTGATTTAATTAATGAATTTTGATAATAATGTTCTGTAGATAGATGTATTTTAATGATATGTAGTTTAGATTAGTAACTTAGATTGTCAGTGGCTGTACCCTCAAAGGGGGTTAAAATACTGTAAAATTATTGTCCTCCTGAGAGGGTACGTAAGTCACAAAACATTCATAGTAAATTTAAACCTACTACTATTTTAATCGTAGAATATATGTTCGTTTAATTTGTGGCTAGATTATCTAAAATTGCTAATAGCTGAAGGGATGGTGTAAATCCAGCTAAAGTCCATGCAGGAAGCAAATGTACTGTAAGTCCCCATGGTCCCTGGTATGGTGATCTACCTTCAGTTGTTGGCAATATATAGCCTGTTTTTACCTTGTATTGTCATTTATAGTTAAACTGTTTTAGATTTAATTACTAGTTTTCTCCGTACACACCATGCAATGATAACATTACCAATTCACTAACAACAAACATCACTAGAATATTGGCCCGGTCGCAGTGTCGACACACGGCAGTTTATTACAAATATTGCAAACAGTGTGACATCAACACACCAACCTTCAAAATACACTTCCCTCCTTCAACATTACATCATCAGGTGTGGAACCGCTGCCCGACACGTAAACAGAGATCAAAAACTGCATTCAAGAGAAAATTACTCTGGACCGTGTTCTCCCGACGAAGTCAGCGGCACCTTTCTGGGGAGTTTACAGCTTAACCTTTGATGTACTGAGCATGCCATAAATACAAATTATGATGTATACTGTACAACATAGCACATGAGGGAAACAATCCTCGTCCAAACAGACCACGTTCAAAGTGAACTCGTATTATCAAGGCTCGCCAGCCCAGAACACAGATAATACACCTCTCTCATATACATGCAAATCAAGTATCTGCTTAGCTGCATTACAATACTTATATTACTAATTATCATAACTCAACAAAGAGTAAGCAAACACGTAAATTCACACTATAAGCGTACCATAAAAGCTCACTAGCCGACCCGACCATACCAAAAACAGGTAAATCAACTGTATGCTGAGCTGCATTACAAAACATATTTCGTATTCTCTCGGCTCAACAGCCAAACAGACAAAAAAAAATATATATGTACACAATAGACGTATTATAAAGACTCGTCAGCCTACGCTTCTGAACGAAGAAACTTTAATGCATGATTAGGCTCACTCGCCAACACGACCATACCATACACAGGTCGACCCGACAAGGGAACATCCACTCACACGAGCATCACGTCAGATTACAATCTGAAAATAGAAATCATATTAATATTTTGCAACACTCAAAGAAACAAACACTGTAATATGAACACTGCCGTGGTAATTAGCGAGAGAGAAGACCTACTGTCATACACCCCTATATATACCCTAGATCACCCGGTGTAATTACCTCCCTTTACCATTGCATACCACTACGGAGAAAGTAGTTTCTCTCTTATTCACAATGCATTCAACCGAGAGAAACATCATTTCTCCGTACACACCATGCAATGATAACATTACCAATTCACTAACAACAAACATCACTAGAATATTGGCCCGGTCGCAGTGTCGACACGGGCGGAGCCTCAAAGAAAGTCTACAGTCCAAGAGACAGAGAAACTGAAAGTCTTCTCTGTAAATTATCTTTAATGTAACCATCCTTTGCGTTTTCACTTCTCCAACGGCCATGTCTCTTAAACAGTCTATCGTGCACACCCTTGTTTGCCGCTGTTGTTGCTCCACCACTCCTTAAACTATGCAGTCCATAATTCCTGATATCACTCACAAAGGGAGCAAAGGCATCAATGAAAAGCTCTCTAAGACGAGTATATGACATTGGGGAATCATTTTTTCTAAGTATATAACCATTCTTAGTCTTGGTAATGCTTCTGAAAATATATTCATCAGATGAAGGCAAAATACTTGAAATCTCAAGATATTTCTCCAAACATGAAACTGGGCATAGCTTAGAATTTGTCCTACCAATAACAATCCATGAACCATCCCTGTATATATCAGTCTTGGATTGCTCAATAAATAACATTATATGAGACTCAAAGAATTCAATGTCGGAACGTCTGATGTGTAATAACTCTGATGATCTCAAGAAACCTGAATAAGCTAGCTAGAAAACACATACACACAATTCTCACATCACAAAGCGTGGGATGAGACATACATACATCATACAACTTTGCCAATAAAGCAGGTGTTATGGGTTCCTTTTTAGAAACAGATTTAGCCAATCTCCTTTTGGCTGCTTCCAATACATTTTAACCAACCCATTATCAGTGGGACTTTGCAATCCTACTACAACATGAGCATGCCGAATGCCATAAAACGCTGTCTGCACAGAAGCAAACGAATCACTCTTCTGAACAACAGACACCAAATAAATTGCACAGTGCAAGGGGCAATAGGTAAACTTGTAGGCATACCACAAGATTGCGCCCACCGTTTCCAGGCCTGAAAACCGTATCTGTACTTCCGCGACGTAGACTCAGCTCTACATTCGCTCAACAACTCTGGTAAACCTGTCACCAGTCCCCTCACACCAGGGGGTAACGCCTTCATCTCCTCTCCATAAGCACAAGATATCACACCTGTAACACGCAATATACAAAATCAACATTTGCTAAAATCAACTCGCAGAGCTAACATGTTAAAGTGCAAGTCCTGTTCACCAAACAAACCGCCTCTTATCCTGGAAGGCACATAACTTTGTTTAGTTTTGGGTAAATACATGTATTCTAACACCTGAGGGATAAACAAATAGCTACAGGTGATAAGTGGCCAAAAACATGCCGAATACCATTCAGGTACTACAAGAGTGCCTCTCGCCCGACACTCAGCCATGTGTCTCAAAGTCCTCGGTATCATACCAACAGGGGTACAACCCAATTCATGACGTCACTCCAACTAACTGAAAAACAGTCCACTGCAGAACATCCTGGATTATAATATCCGGAATTAAAACATGACAAGTTTGCATTGTACCAAGATGCGAATCTATCCACATCATGAGGGCCCCATTTGTCATCTATCCGTTTGAATACATGTGAGGCAATAGCCCAATCATCATAGTCAAGTATCTTACTCAGCATATCTGCCACTGCATTCTCTGCACGCGGGATCCACTGCATACTCAGAGCAACATTTCGCGTTGAACACAACTCAAATATATCAAGAGCTATTGACTGTAAATGGGGCTTCATACTTCCCTTGTCCACTATAGTTACCACATTCTGATTGTCAGTACACCACATAATCCTACGATGCTGCATTTGATGAATAAAGCTTTTCAAAACAAGATAAACAGCTTTCAACTCTCTCCAAGTTGAACTTTTCCTAGCCCTCTTCTTCTGACCACTGGCCATGGGAAAAAGCCGAATCCATCTCTACACAATAGCCTCCATATCCAGTGTCACTTGCATCGCTGTACACGACACGACTCACAGTGGAACTTTTAATCAGCACTGTACTCGACAGACGAGGAATGTTATCAATCCAATACCTTAACTGATCAACACTAAGCACCGACAGATGAACTTTTCTGTTCCAAGATTGAGCTGACAAAATATCAATACTCAAAAACCTCGTCATGAGTTGAACTACATTCCCCATCACTAATTTCATAGCGATTATCTGTCCGACCACCGCTGCAATCAAACGCACTGGCTGATTAAAACGTTTATTACTCAACAGAAATTTCAAATTTGCTACAACCTTATCCAACTTCCTCTGAGGAACAGATAAACGCAACTGTCGCGTGTCTATGTGGAAACCTAACCACTCTACAGACTGAGAGGGAGCCCACAGTGATTTTTCAACCTTCGGAACAAAACCAGACTTGATCAAGTCTCCTTTCACCGCCTCACCAGACACACGAGTGATATGCTCAGACTGCGCTGACAAGATACCGTCATCTAAAAACGTGACTACCCTTTTTCCTTCGAAACGCCACTTTTTGACCAACTGTCGTGTAATCTTTGTAAACACATAGGGCGCTGATGTAAGCCCGAAAGGTAAAACCATAAACTTGTAATACTGTTTCTCTTGTAATGCGTTTACCCAAGCAAAGCCTAAAAATTCGGTATGACCCTCAAAAATGTCTACATGATGATAAGCTGAATGTATATCGAACTTAATCAGCCAGTCATTGAGGTTAATGTACTCAAGCGCAGATTTCCAGTCTTCATATTTAACTGACTTTTTGTTAATAAACTTGTTCACTCGAGACAGATCTAAGATTAGACGCTTTTTCCCCGAAGACTGAATAGACACAGAAAGTGGATTTACTGTATAGGGTGGAGCATCACACTCAACAATCAAGTGTTTTTTGTGCAACTCTGAAATAGCCTGACTGACAAAATCTGAATGTTCCAACGCCGACTTGTTATTTCGTAAATCCATCCTCGGCGGTCTGGAAATGAAAGGAATTTTGTATCCTTTGTCTATAATGTCTATAACAAATTGTGAAGCACCTGTACTATGCCAGAATGCAATACTAGACTTTAAACGACCCTTCACTATGATTTCCGCTGACCCCTGTTCATATTCATAAAAATCATGAGTGAGAGCAATATCATAATCAATATCATCATTGTCTAAGCGTACTTCAAAGTTAGACTTAACTGACAAATCTGTATCGTCCTGTCTATGAGACACTGGTAGCTGTAGCATTGGCTGCTGACGTTGCTCTGATCGTGCTGGCTGTACGGTAGGGGCACTCTCTGACGTAGTGCGAGAACTCCCCGCAGTGGTGGCATGAACCCTGTCGGGAACCTTTGACACGAAAAGACTGCACGACTGGAACACTGTGCACAGGAGTATGCACAGGTAGAGCGTGTTGTGCGTGCGACGTAACACTTGGTCTCCGGGTAAAAGCTCGAGCTCCATACGGGGATCTCCGGTTTTGTTTGGCTTTAAGCTTCTTGACTGCCTTAAGTTCTGCTTTCTCAATTTTCTTGTCATCATCACTATCATCAGCCAACTCGTTAGAAACGTAATTTTTCACTGTCTCCCAGCCCCCTTCCGATGAGTCCGCAATTTTAATCATTTTATTTCTCTTTTCTAGTTTAGATATAGCCGCTTCAATATACTCGGAAACATCTTCACCATTCACACCGTATTTAGCTTGCCTTGCTGTGAATAAATCCTCCAGAACTTCAGAGTTGACATTAAACTGAATTCTGTTCCCTTCACGAGACCATGAATATTCTGTATCAGTCTTCATTTTTTCAACCCCTTGGCCTGCTCGATGAATTCTTCTCTCAAATGCGATAGCTTTTCGTCAAACACAGCTTCAAAGTCTCGTTGATTGTCAAGCCTTTTCAAAATGGCGTCAAGTTTTGCCGCGGTTGAATCCTCAGACATGATTGCTGCGTAACAATATGAACACTGCCGTGGTAATTAGCGAGAGAGAAGACCTACTGTCATACACCCCTATATATACCCCTAGATCACCCGGTGTAATTACCTCCCTTTACCATTGCATACCACTACGGAGAAAGTAGTTTCTCTCTTATTCACAATGCATTCAACCGAGAGAAACATCATTTACAATCGAATCTGTGATAATCTAGTTATTTTACTGTCCTTCGTTGAAAGGTTTATACAATTTACTATTAATTACTATGTATAAAAATAATTGTTCTTGTGACGATATGGCTGCAATATTGCCGATGTGACGTTAAATTTTAACTCACTTAACTCACTCAGATTTCAAATACAATACTATTAGATCATAAATCTAACATGAACCACTATACTAACAATCATGGATATCACACTCCCTAAAAAAAAAACCAAACGTCGACTCGAAAATGACGATCAGCAACGACCCTCAGTATCTATTGCTTTTTGGCCACGGGGTTTGGTTATTGAAACTCTTGATAAGACTCCGATCAAACTAAATCCGTTTGCAATTTCTAAGGGTATATCCGGGATAGCAGGAGCAGTTAAAAACATCAAACGCTTGCGAACTGGATCACTGTTAATCGAATGTAACAAAACAACCAGCAACGAACATATTTTCAACTGATGTGTTTATTGGAGTCACGGTTCTGGTTTCAGCTCACAGAACGTTGAACACCAACAAAGGTATTGTCCAAGACTGTGATCATCTCCTTGCAGACATGACTGAGCTCGATATTTTTTTTAGATGAGTGAGTGAGATAAAATTTAACGTCACATCGGCAATATTGCAGCCATATCGTGACGAAAACATTTTATATCAATATTCAAATCATACTGAACGAACGTTGCTTGTTAGCAAGAATGGTGATGTCAAACCACTCTATTTGGTGATTGGGGTTAGCTTTGATGTGGTCAGTGATGGCTGATTGCTGTCAGAATTGTTAACGGATGTGCTATGTTCTTTGACTCGAGGCACCCGTGAAGAGCCACCTCCTCGTGGTGGGTGTTGGGTAACGCTAAGCGCTCTTCGACCCCCCGTTGTGGACCCGGGGGGATATTTGGTCCACCAACCCGTTTGCCGTGGGTTGCGCCCCTGTGTCGGTGGAGGACGGGAGTTTGGTGGTTGAGGGCACTGGAACCAGGACCAGGTGTTCCTGTTGCCCAACACACCACTTCGCCTCTTACTTCACCTAGACGGGTGGTTGAATGGGCCCGGTTCAATCAATCGGCTGGTCACGCCAGGCCCTGTGCATAGTGAATATTATTGCACATATTCTATATATTATCTTGGTCTTGGCTATTCTAAATTCAAATTATTCATGATATTCTATTGCCTAGAATCCTATGCCAGAAGGCGGTGGCGCATGGGCCAATCTGGCTTTACTGACCTCCGGGTTCTAATTGTCTTCAGACAACTGTCATGGGCGGAACCAGCCTGACTTTTATTCTGTATGACAATATTAGCTTCCTGTGTCTGTATTGCTTGAGTATAACATCCCTGTAACCCTGGTGTTTCGTAGTCGGTTTCCACTTCGACACCGTCCTTGTTGACACTCCATGGTGGGTGAGGAGCAGGGATGTTGAATTTACATTCTTCATTATGGCTACCCAACAACCCTCTGGTTCTCGTTCCAAATCAAAGAGAAAACATATCGATTTAGACTTTGTCTCGTCTTCTGATGATGAATCAGGGACAACTAATTTGGATTCTTGGCCCCGTTTCCTGGTTGTACAGGGAGCTGATGGACAACCACTGCAGCTTAATCCTTTTGCTGTATCTAAAGCTATTGCTGGAATATGTGGTGATGTGAAAAATGTTACTCGCCTCAGAACAGGTTCCTTGCTGGTGGAGTGTGCCAGGAAGCAACAATCTATCAATTTGCTCAAAGCAGGACACTTTGCAAATACTAGGATTGATGTCTCGCCCCATAGAACACTGAATTCTTGTAGGGGCATTGTCCCCGATAGGGCAAAATGTCTGATATGACAGAAGTAGATATTGCAGCAGAATCTCAAGGTGTCACGTCCGTGAAAAGATTCACAAGAAAAGATGGTGATAAGTTTATCAAAACCAATACGTATCTTTTCACATTTTGTCTTTCATCAATACCAAAAACAATCAAAGCTGGATATTTCAACATCGAGGTGGAATTCTACATCCCGAATCCTCTTCGGTGTTTTAAGT